GCGTGGCCGGCCCCTCCGGTCCCACGGGTCCTGAGGACCCCTCCAACTTAGCCCAAGTTAGGGAAGCCGGGAAAGGGGCCCGAGTCCGGAGAGGGAACCGAGGGGACGCGGTCCTGGGGCCGCGGGAGATCCGCGTCGCCGGCGCGCGCCAGCCAGCCAGCGTTCCCCAGCAACTTTTCTCCCGGGTGGGCCACCCCAGAAACTTGCCTTCCCGCGGTTTCGGGGTCCTGCCGCAGCCCTGGGCCGCCTGGGACTCGGCTCTGAGTGCCGGCCTGCGGCGAGCAGGGGGAGGCCATGGCCTCACCGGGTGGCCCTGGCCCCTGGCGCACTTCCAACCTCAAGTTTCCATCCACGGTCTCCGCCCCTGTCTTCTGGGTCTCCTGGGTCGGGATGGGGCCGGGGTGGGAGATGGAGTCCGACCAAGTGCAAATCCTTGAGACCCCCCCCCAACAGCTGGCTGACCTTGAGCACGTTATTAGTGTCTGTGCCTCAGTTTCCCCTTGTATAGTGGAGATGCTACTCCCTAGCTGAGAGAGGTCCTGAGAGGACAGCAGTGTGACCACGTGGAGATAGCTTCATACAGAGCCACCAGGGTCTCAGCCCCTGGACTAGGCTGGAGAGAGAGGGCCAGACAGACAGCATTCCCACCCTGAGCCCTCTGCTTGTCCCACAGGAGCTGCGACGAGGACCCTCCAGGAGCCTGAGCTATGAGTGGCCCCTGCGGAGAGAGCCGGGTCCAGGAACCCAGCCACACCATGAGCCTGTGGGAGCGCGGGGAGAGCCGCAGTGGGCAGGGTGGCCCAGGGCCGGCCCAGGAGCCCACCGCCCAGGAGGCCTCCACTTCTGAGCTGCAGATGAAGGTGGACTTCTTCCGAAAGCTGGGCTACTCGTCCACAGAGATCCACAGTGTCCTGCAGAAGCTGGGGGTCCAGGCGGACACCAACACGGTGCTGGGCGAGCTGCTGAAACACGGGGTGGCCTCGGAGCGGGAGTCCAACCCCCGGGCCTCGCCGGACCCCGGCTCCCAACTCCCCTTGGTTCCCCGGGGCGGGGGCGCCCCGAAGGCACCCACCCTGGAGCCCTCCGTCCCAGAAGAGGACCAGGAAGGCAGTGACCTGAGGCCGGTGGTCATCGACGGGAGCAACGTGGCCATGAGGTACGACTGGCCGCTGTGGCCAGGGCTGGCCAGGGCAGCCCTGCAGAGGGACCTTCCAGAAGGAGTTCGAGTGCTTCTGTTGACTGGCCATCAGAGAGGGAGGGCGGGCCCTTTCTGAGGTCCTACTGTGTGCCAGGCGGCCTTCAGCATTCTTGTGGCTTCTGTGAAGTGGGTTTGTTTGGGGTGTTTTAGGGATGAAAATCTGGGAGTGCAGACTTGCCCAGGTCACACTTACGCAGCCGGGGCTCAGTCAGGCTCTGGACTCTGCCTGAGGCCTGCACTCCTGTGGGCCTGCCGCCTCTGCTGGGCTGTAAGGCCGGACGTGTCGGGGCTTAGCCTGCGGCCAGATCAAGTGTACAGGAGCCTGTCACTGAACCGCCCTGAGCCCTTTTCCTCTGGAGGAAGGGCTGGCCCACCCTTAGCTGACACTCATGGACCGCGAGCACTCACAACCTGGCCAGTGGCAGGTCCTCGCCCAGCAGAAGTTGCCGCTCTTGCTATTGTTTGGGAGCTGGGACTTCTGAGGCCTTGTCCCAGCGAAGCAAGCACAGCTACTGAGGCCTCTGTAGCCATGAGCAGGGTCACCTCAGGACTGGGCCTGGCCCTGCACAGGGGCTCACCCACCAACTCACCCACCCAGCTGGTAGGTCCAGGAGGGCTTCACAGGGGTGCTGACGCCTCCCATGGGTGGTGTGGTGCTCTGGCTTAAAGTGCGCTGTGACTTGGAGCTTCAGTGATTCAGCCGAAGCTCCCCTGACTGGACTGGTGTCTGGGGGCCCCCTGGGGCAGACCAGGACTCAGCCCCGGTAACCCCTACTTCACCCTTCTGCGGGCTCTCGCAGGGGTGGGGTGGGATCGGGACAGGGGTGAGGCCGTGGGCAGAGCCAGTGCTGACCTCAGGGAGCCCAGATTCCCCCTGGGATCCAGGGCCCCTTCTGACTCTGCTTTATTCCACTCCCTCCAAAGCGGCTGGTGATTCAGCCCTGGGCAGGTCACTCACAGAGACGGTCCTGTTGGCATGGAGGAGAGCTGAGACTGGGGGGG